GTCTTTTCATCCAAGTTACTTTCATTTTTTGGTAGACAAACTCAGTTGCTCTCAGTCAAACTATCTTGAGTTTGAGGGGGGATGTTATCAAGAATATTCTTCAAATATTCTATTATTATTGTGTATATATATATATATATATATCTCAGTCATTATTAAGAGATATTATTTGTTATTATTATGTAATTATTAATTATTATTAGGTTGTCTTTTTCTTGATATATATATTGTACCTTTCAGTTCAATAATAGATAAGATATTTCTTCATATTTCTCTTGCTTCTTTCATAGATAAATAAATGAAATTTAGTTTAAAGTAAGGCATTCAAAAAAAGTATGCATGGAATTATAGCCTAAGTAATTGACATTTATATATTTATTTAATTCAAGTTTAAATTATGATAGAAAATAATAAAAATGCATTGCTCATATATAAGTTAAATATGTCAAATCATAATATTATATTTTATTTTTGTTCAAATAAATATCTACTTTAGAAATTACCAACCATTTTTAGTAATTAATTGGACACAGTTATTTTTGTTCTTTCAAAGTTGAGGAATGCCAAAATCTAAACAAAACAAAAAGAAATTGTGTATATGAAAAAGAAAAACTTACATAAAATACAAAGACTAGAGAATAAAAAGATCACAAAATTAAATTAGTTTGTATTTAGTGGTGATACAAGTATGATTTGATTAAAAAAATTATTGTTATTTGGATATTTAATTTTTAGGGAGAAATATGATTTTTTTTACACAAAAATAAAAAGAGGAGAATTTATAATTTTTTAAAATAAAAAAATCACAAAAAACATGTTTTTATTGGCAAGTTGACCAATGGGTTAGCTGAATTACAACCCTATTGAATGAGAGTTATATCAACTCACCCCATCAAACTCACAATTCATTGCATGCCAACCCACAGGTTATGAGTTGGCCCACATCACTCACCCTATTGTAAGGCCTATTATATAATCATATAATTATATTATAGGTCATCTGCGTGTTGCTCAAAAATATTAATCCACTCAATTTAAGATGAATGAAGGGGAGGATTATTTTTAATCTTTCAATATGTAATCCTTATTTTTTAAAAAGTGTCTCTATTAAATTAATCACTTTATATTTATTTTAAGGTAAAATTTTTTATTAAATAAGAGTAAATATAAAAAGATAGAATTAATTTAAAAATAAATAACTACTTTATTGAAGGCGAGATTCAGTTAAAAATATCTTACATTTTTTAATGAAGGGAGAATATACACACACATGTTATTTTAATCTTGTGACCTAAGATATGAAAGCTCTGATAAATGAAAAATTGTAAGTTTAATGTAGCTTTTAATCTCAAAACCATACATTCATGTTCCTCTAAATCAAAATAAAAAGTTGATAGCTAATTTTAAACAACATAAATTTTTAAAAAAATATGTTAACATAATATCATAAAAAATAAAAATAAGTAAAAATACAAATTAAATTTAAAAAATAAATTATAAAAATATTATTTAATTAATTTAAATTTAAATATTAAAAAATTATAGATTGTCGTCATCAGTCAAATTACAATTTACAAAGGAAAGAGGATCATATACTGGCACTGGGCCATCCCCTTTTTTTTTTTTTTTTTAAATGGCTGTTATCTCCGTGTCCCTTTTATTTTCCTCCGATTTGTGTGTGTCCGTCTAAGGAATTCCACTTATTAGTTTCTTTGGGTTTTATGTATAATCGTTTTATTCTAGTGATATTATCTCTTTCATAAAAAAATGAGACCTTTTTTTATTAGCTAAAGTATATATTTAATTTTTTAACTTTACACATTATTTCATTTTAGTTCTTTAAATCTATAAAGTGTTTTTTTTAGTCCTTTAACAGTAATATTATTAGTTTTATCCTAACAAATTTTTATATTTAAGTTTTAAATATTAACAAAATATTTTCAAATATTGACATATTTAAATTTAATTTTTTCAAAATGATAAGTTTAATACAAAAAATAATTATCTGAAACTAACAATGTTAGGGTTAAAAGATTAAAAAGATATTTTATAAAATTAAAGAACTAAATTGCAATTTATATAAAGTTAAAGGATTAAATATATATTTTAGCTTTTTTTATTTAGTGATACTTGACTCAATACGAGACATCGTTTGGTCCATTAATTGAATTTTATCATTTTCACCCCTTTTTGAAATATTAGATTTGAATAAATATAAGAAAGAAATTAAATCATACATTACGAAAAATTCAATTTATTATAGAGGGAGGCTAATATTTACTAGGGACAAATGTGAAACAGTAACAATTCTTTGGCACAAGTTTAAAGAATAAAACAAACTTTGCATGAAGCGGTCGCCAATATCTAATGTGAAAGGAGGGTGATACAATGGAAGCATGTTTGAAAAATAGCATGTGAATCATGCTTTGTCACACCCTATGTCCCTGACAAATGATTTTGTTGATTGTTGATTTAGTGAAGCATCAAATCAGTCCAATTTCCAGGCCATGAGCTATTTTTTAATTCATCCGGTTTGATTGATTAGTTTCGTTCAATTTTAAAATTACAAAAAGCAATTGTAATTCTTAATTGTTGTGCCACGCGAATAAGTTATAATTAAAGATAATATAATTGATTTTACCCCAAAAAAAATACAACTGACCACGTGGAATAAAACTATTGGAAATAAAAGATAGATTTTACTTTTAATCTTTGTAATTTATTTTCAGTGTTTTAATCCTCATAATATAGTCCATTTAATTTAATATCATTAAGAATTTAAATAACAAACATCATTCAATCTTGTGTTAAAACTATAGATATCAAAAACATAAAAAAAGTACAAGGATTAAAAGATGAAACTATATATATCAATGATTATATTTTTCCTTAATTTAACATCATCGATACTCAAATTATTCAGCTTTGCTGCTTAACTGGATTCGGTTATTATTAACGAAGTCGTTCTTATCTCTAATCAACGTGAAGCATGGTCTTTGATGGTGGGAAAAGTCTAAATGAATTCACAAGGTGATGAGATTCCTACTTAACCAAACATAAAAAATTAGGCAAAAATGACTACGGTGGATAATATCATAATGTGTGTGTGAACAGAAAATTCAAAACTATAGATACCGAAAAGTACAAGGACTAAAAGATAAAATTATAAGTATCAATGATTATGCTTTCTTTTTAATTGAACGTCATCGGATACTCAAATTATTCAGCTTCGCTGCTTAACTGGATTAACGAAGTCGTTCTTATCTCTAAGCAACGTGAAGCATGGTCTATGACGGTGGGAAAAGTCTAAATTAATTGACAAGGTGATGAGATTCCTACCTAACCAAACATAAAAAATTTAGGCAAAAATGAATATGGTGGATAACATCATAATGTGTGTGTGAAAACAGAAAATTCAAAACTACTATGTGGATGGAGAATAACTTGACTGAGATAAAGCCAAGTCAATAATGTGGCAGCTTCGCGTTCATTAAATTAATGGGAGGACAAGTGAAAATGGATGTAAGATATACCAAATCTTGTTATCTAAGAAACTTAATCATACCAAGCACGATTAACCCAAGCAGTACAGGACACAAATAAGTCTTCTAAAGTTTCAAGATCATTCCTACACACCAATGATTTTACAACCGGATTGAATTGGACGGTTGGACCATCGACCAGCTCAGTTTGAACCAAAAAATTATTTTTATAATCGTGCCAAATTGGATCAGAGTTGAGCCACTATTGAGTTAAAAATTGGAGTTGAAAAAGGAACCGGAGTAGTTTATAAAAAACCAAACAGTTTTAAACATGATATTAAAAAAGCTTAAAAATTAAAAAAATTTAAAATTAGATATATTTTTGGACAATTCACATATACTTTGAGTTTACTTATAACTAATTTTAGATATATGTAAAATTAGATATTAAATTTGATTTGAGACTATTTTTTATAAAGATGTTGATGATTATATATGTAAATACATATACTTTTGAATCTACTTATATTTAATTTAATCAAGATTCACTTTTATTTGGCAAGTTATAAAATTATAATTTATAATATTATTAATTTATAGTTATATTATATCATTTTATTAGAATAGTATAGATTTTTATTCTTGTATTTATTACACACACACACATTTAATATTACTTTTATTTAATTAATACGTCATCGGTTTGACCATTGATCCAACCATGCGAATCGTGAACTGCTAGTCTTTTCGATTCAATATCTAGTTCAGTTTTAAAAACATTGTTACACATGGAGCATAGAGTTTCATGTCTACAATGCTGTTTAAATAGTGCATCACTTGTGCCTAAAGATGAATTTAATAGTCTCCATGTAGCAAAAACTTGAGGTTGACTTGACTCCAATTTATACAATGCTTATAGCATCAGGCGTCGAGCACTTCATTGCACAAGTTTTACAACTTGACTCGCGATCAATCTCTCCAATATATCTGCTCTTCTCTTTGAACATTTCCCCAAGTTCAATAATCAAAAGCATCATCAGGTTAGTTTTTATGTCTCTTTCCAATTTTCATTTCTTTAGTATGCAGTTTGTACTACATAATTTCTGTATATAAGAGCATGAGAGTGAGAGGCGTTGGGAACTCAAACGTGCGCAAGTTTCTCACTAAACAAATCTGCTACATATTTCCTTTTCCCTATTCTCATGGCTTTTGATGGACTCACTATTTTATATATTGTCTTCAAGGTCTTGTGATTTTATTAATTTGAGGAAGCATGGATAATTGGAGATTAACTGGTTCTATGATCTACACTTTTCTCTAATTTCCTGAAATTCAATGAAAGCACCTTATGTTAATTATGTCTTTCTTTTACCTTCTCTTTTTCATCCACATATTATTATTTTCCTTCATTTGTTAGGAGCACAAATTAAATTAAAGGACGACATTTTCAATCAATAAAAACACCTTATATATATATATATAATATATATTTGTGCCAAGCTCTTGCAGATTAAAAGAATGGGTACAGAAGGTGCTGCTCCATGGTCAGTACTAAGAAAAGATGATGAACAAAGATCCTTGTTAAACTCTTTGGAAGCCACGTCATCAGAAAGAATAATAGACCCTTGTATCTATAGAGTGCCACCGATACTTCGCAAAATGAATGAAGAAGCCTACACTCCTTCCCTAGTTTCCATTGGTCCCTTTCACCGTGGAAACGAAACTCTGAAGCCGACGCAACATCTCAAGTTCTCTTACGCCAACAAATTTCTCATGAGGACTCGTCAACAGAATTCAGTAGATGATTATGCTAGAGCCGTGAGAGATTGGGAAGATGAGATTCGACGTCGTTATTACGAGTCAATACCAATGGGGAGAGATGAATTTGTAGAAATGATTCTAATGGATGGGTGTTTCATCATTGAGTTGTTTGTTTCGGTCTTTCTAGAAATCACAAGTAAATCAAATGGAGGCACCTATTTGCTGACGAAACGATGGCCAGTAGGATTTGATATAATGCGAGACTTGATTTTACTTGAAAATCAGATACCATTCTTTGTTCTTGAAGGCCTATTCAACCTAGCTTTTCCCAACGGCTTAAATGACAAAATCTCATTTCATGAGCTTGCCTTCGAGAATTTATCGCCTTCCTTCAAGCCAACTATATATTCTCCAAACAGCAAAATGTGTAAGAAGTTCAGCTACAGCTATTTTGTAGATCATCACCTGACACTGCCTAATGGTGATAGGTTGCAAGTGGAACACCTCTGTGATATGTTAAGGGCCTTTTACGTGCCAAGTAATCCTCCTACAATAGTAAGAGGCTCAAATCATAAAGTGAAATGTTCATGTACTGCAAATCAACTACATGAGGCAGGACTGAAATTTGAAGTTCATCAAGATAGAGGCATATTCGAGCTGGAATGTTCAGAGGGAGTCTTCAAAATGCCACTTATTCGGATTAATGTAATGACTGAGATTATGCTCCGAAATTTGGTTGCATTTGAGCAGTGTCATCACAATTTTGAGAAGTATTATGTTACTAACCACATGTTCCTCTTGTATAATCTTATCAAAACTGGAAAGGACGTCGAAATTCTTGTTGAAAAGGGAATCATGGAGAACTTTTTGGGGGACAATAATGATGTGGCTACCATGATTATCAAACTTTCCCAACAAGTTGTGTTTGCAGGCATCAATACTAATTATGGCAATCTATATGTAAAGCTGGATGAATTTTATAATAACCCTTACCACAAGTACAAGGCAAACTTCGTGCGTGAATACTGGAGCACTCCTTGGAAAAGAGTATCTTTGTTTGGTGGAATTCTGCTACTTTCGCTCACTTTGATCCAGACGATATGTTCTATCATCTCCTTATTTAAGAAGTAGCTCAAAATCAATGCCCATGTATAACTTTCAATCTTCGTTACTGCTTTCTCTGATAATTAGCTCTCTATACTTGATGGATCATTGATGGATGCATGTATGCCACCTTTAATTTCTTATATAATTTCTTTCTCTTTTGTTTATAGCATCCATTTTTTATTGATGGATCACTTGTGTACATGTTGTGGACTATCATATTAAGGAATGATCTGCGGCTAATCTTTTTCACATGATTGAATTCCTCTTCAGCAAAATTTCAAAAGCAATTTAAGTGAGCTGGTAAGATCAAGTTGAAGTGAAAATAGAAATCATTATCATAGTTTTGTATAATTAAAAGATTTATAATTCCTCGGAAACAGAAGCAAAATGAAAGCTGGCATAAAAGTTTTCTAGAAGAACTAAATTTTACAAGAAGATGCAAGACTTTTTTCCCATGGACCAAAAATTTCAAAGAAAATATATTAAAAAAACATGCCCAAAAAAATGAAAACGACTTAATTCTTATCATCATCAGTTGCGGACTCAAGAAAACGTCCGTTCAGCAATTCTGCTGCGGCCTCAAGCCATTGATGAGTGGGATAGAATGATCAACATCTAGGATGAGGGACATGTTTGGACAACCCTCAAAAGTATATTCAAACTACATTTGAGATTTATTTGTTTTTGCCAAATAGTTGGATCTTCCAAATAAACTTTTATTAGGTATAAACTGAAAACCAAACATATATTTAAATTACATGGGAGAGGATACCAACTAGGGCAACGAAGAAGTAGTGGGGACCAAGGAAATATTGGCAGGAAAAGAAAGAAAAATGAGGGAGGCAAAATTTGAAACAGCACTTGTAGTATAGATCAAAAAATCTGTAGTCCCCATCGCAAATGTGTTGCGGAAGAAAAAAACAATGGCAGGGAGGCAAAATAATTGGAAGCAATCCAACATTAGAGAGCAAAATGGAGGGCAGTTTCGGCAATTTACTGTGCAAGTCATGTGGAGGGTATTTGATAAAGGAAGGAGACTCGAGGGCATTTTGGGCTAAGAAATTCTATTTGTTCATGTACTGTTCAAGTGTTTATCTACAATCGAGAGAGATAATTGATGATTTTTTTCCCACTAAAAAAACAAAAAGAAAAGGTTCAAAAGCACTTTTCAACCGACTGCGCTTCTCAATAGATTTGTTATCAACAAGCTATGAGTTGCAATATGATTATATGAAGCTGCAGCAAATTCGTGATTCCCAAAGCTTGAAGCCATTATTGTTCCCTTCCTTTGTATTTATGCATTGTGATTTTTCTGTGGTGTATTTCTTCGCAATGCCCATTATATAATCATATAAATTATATTTTATATCGTTCATGCGATGCACATAAATATTAATTCGCTCAACTTAAAATGAATGGAGGGAAGGAGAGAAGAAGAATTATTTTAATAAATTCATTTTTTAAAAAGGATACATGAAAATAATATTATTTTAATCTTGCAACCTAGAGATGTGAAAGCTCTCATAAATGGAAAATTGTAAGTTTGATGTGGCTTGTTATCTCATACCATAAATTTTAAACAACACAAATTAAAAAAAAATGTTAACATAATATCATAAAATTTAAAAATAAAAATTAAAAATAAAAATAAATTATAAAAATATAATTTAATTAATTTAAATTTAAATTTTTAAAAATTATAAGTTGTAATCACGAGTCAAATTACAAAGGAAACGGGATTATATAATAGCCCCCCCCCCCCCTCTTCTCTCATGGTTGTTACCTCTATGTGCCTTTTATTTTCCTGTGGTTTGTGTGTATGTTGGTCCAAGGAATTCTACTTATTAGTTTCCTTAGGTTTTATGTATAATCGTTTTATTTTAGTGATATTACTTCTTTTATTTAAAAAAAGCCAGAGACGTTTTTTTAAAATTATTTTAGTGATACTTGACTCAAAGTACAAGACATTGTTTGGTTCATTAATTGATTTTTTTTTTCAATTTTCATGACTTGTTGAAATATGATATTTGAGTAAATATAAGATAGACGTTACATATGCATTAAGAAAAATTCAATTTATTATAGAGGGAGGCTAATATTTAATAGGGACAAATGATAACAATTCTTTGGCACAAATTTAAAGAATAAAATAAACTTTAAATTTCTTAATATGCGTGTGTATGAAGTAGTTACCAATATCTAATGTGAAAGGAGGGTGATACAATGGAAGCATGTTTGAACAATCGCATGTGAATATGTGATGCTTTGTCATACCCTAACAAATTATTTTGTTAGTTGTTGAATTAGTTTAGAATCAAAATCAATCCAATTTCCGGGCCTTAGTTCAACCGGTTTGATTGATCAGTTTAGTTTGATTTTTAAATTATTTTATGCCAACTTAAATTCATGTTTCTAATGTTTTTTGGTTTAAAGACCTAATTTATATCTAAACCTTTTTTTTTGGAGTGCAATGCTCTAGGCACCCTTATCCTATAATAAAAATGTGAGGCAATATTTTTCTAAATAATTCTTTAAGAAGCAATATTGCTCCTTTGTTTCATTAATTTGAGCATTAGTTTATTTAAAAAATTATAGAGAAAGACCTAAAAATTTATAGAAAAGAAAATAAAAAATTATATAAAAAGACCTTTATAAGAAACTCACTACTGATAAAGTCTCTTAAATTATAAATAAATTTCAATGGATTGATATTATTTCTTATTCATATAAAAGATCAAAATATTATTTTATCCAATCATTTTAATCGATTATTAGCTAATTATCATATTACCATCGCTAACAACAACACAGATAAGTAATTAAAAATATTATTGTTTAAAAAATAACATTTTATTAAAATGTTACTAATTTAGCATTTGATCATTTATATTATTATTATTATTTACAAATGTTCACACATAATTTACGAGTCAACTTTTAATATATACAAATTTATGAAGGTGGATATATTGATTTTGGAAGAAGACTTATAATTTAGCATATTATTTCAATTCACACATCACCTATAAATTAAAAAAAAACTAGATAAGGTTATTAATATTTAAAAGATAATTTATAAATTTTGGATAAATATTTATAAATACTAATATTTAAATTATTAAATATTTTAATATTTTAACAATATTTTATTAAAACAAATATAATATCTTTTTAATTACTTATTGATAGTTCAGCATTGGTGTTTCAATAATTGTAACATCCTAGAAAATTAAACCTCCAATAATCAAATAATTAAGGGAAATTAAATAGGATTTGTTATGATGTGTAATCAGAGAGGACAAATGAGTGTTTTGATTGTGTTTTTAGTCATAAAATTGGTCTCAGAGTGAAATTTGGTCACTTATGCATTAAAAGTAGAGATAAGCAAGGAGAGAAGCCTCTGTGTTACATGTTGTGGTGCGCATGTGGCATTCCGCGGTACGCAGGGCTAGAAAATATGAAGTAACCTCCTTTGTACTATATGCCACGATGTGTGTGTCATACGCCATTGCATATGGCCTATTTTTTATAAAAATAAGTCTCTCATTAAACTAGAAAAATAGGGAAAAGAAAAGAGAAAATGAGCAAGGGAGAAGAAGAAAACTTGAGCTCTACTAAGGCATGACTCTGGGAAGAATTGAGAGGATTTAAAGCTCCCAATCACTAAGGTAAGTCTTTCATATCCATCCCCTTCCTCTCTATCACTAGTTTAAAGCTAGGATTTGTGGTATAGAGTTGATGTTCAGTTCATAAAGGCTATGGGTCTGAACTCATCTACTTAAATAGAATTATAAGAGTTATTTGAGTTGTTGAAACTATTAATAGAGAGTTTTAGACATTAGTAATGGTTGTGAGCCGTTAATGTCCTAAAATAGACATTAAATGTGAGTTATGAGGGTTGTTAAGGCATTAATGACCCTATGTGAGACTAATGATTGTTAGTTGGGAATTAATAGAAGATAATACGCCCAATGGGTAAGCTTAAATGTAAGAAATAAAGGCTTTAAGTATTTTATAAGTGAAAAATGAGAGTTGGAAGTATGTACAAGGGAATGTTGATGAATTTAGATATAATTAATCATAGATTAATCGTCCTTGCACCATATTTAGCTTAAAGAGCAAGCTTAGAAGCAAGTTATTAAGGAGTTAAAGGTTACCTCTTAAAAGTTTGAGATAACTAGGTAAAATATATTGTGTGTAGTTTTTTATTAATTGATTTATGTTTTCAAGGTTGAAAGAAATTACTTGAGTAATCAAATTTGCTTTTCCTAATGTATGCAAAAATCGTGTGAGGTTTTATTAACTTTGATTTGACGTATTTGCGAAGTAGAATGTGAAATAATTTTAAAACTTAGATATGTGTTGGAATGAGAAATTAGTAATTGATGTGATAACTGTGATTATTCAAAAATGATTGAGTATAATGGAGAAAAGGTAAATGTGATTGAGATTTGAAAATGAAAATTAAGTGTGATAATGAAAATGATTGTTTTTCTCACATGCTCGAACTAATCATATGATTTAAGATAATAAACTTATAATTGCAAATTTACAAGCATGTGTAAATGTGTGTGTAAGCATGAGACATTGTATGATCATTTGGTTGGAGTTTACATAAGGAAAGGAGTAGATAAAATCTATATGGTATTGTATAGCTACCTTTCAGTGTACAAAGGCTAGTATTGTCCCACTGTTTGTCAAAGGATTGTCCCATAATTTATCAAGGGATTTAAACCTAACTAACTCTACCTATTTGTTGAAGAGACTAGCTTAGGGTTTACGATACCCTAAGAATTTGAGAATAGGGGAAGTCATGGTCTGAGAGTTAATGTAGTGATCTTTAGCTAGGTCACTCCTCATAATTAGTAAGCTTGGGCAATCCAATTACATGAATGGAGCCCTAATCTAATACTATAGCCAATAGTTCAATTAGAGGAAATAAGGAAGTTATAAGGAGAAATTGACCAGGCATATTTTATTTGACTTGTCACATGGTTATTAAGTTTGTGGCAAGTCGCGATAAT